ACCTCAGCAGGTTTTACGGTCAAATTACAGATTTTTCTCTTTCTGGTTCATGGCTGATAAAACTTGGACTGATGGAAGTAATAATGACAGAATATGGGAAAAGGTGGTCTGCCACTGGCTGAGAGTCAGGGCACGGGACACTAAACTTCATTCAAAAGCCCTTCTTATTCCACATGACTTACAGATGCAGTAAAATTTAATAATTGTTTTTAAAGGAGTATAATCAAGTCTAAATAACATCAATCCTTTGTTTACATTAGAAATCTACATATTTTGTATTTTGAAAAATTAGATTTTGCAAGCAAAAAAGATGAGACATTAAAAGATTAAACATTTCTTTCACAGATTTTTTTTTTTCCTTTTGTTGAAGATCAAAAAGCAGTCACATATTTCAGAAGCTTCCAGAGCAGCAATAGTTGTGTTCCTTTTCCTGTGCCTTCCTTCCTCCTCCCAGCCTCAGGAATTAAAATCAGGCTATAAAGTCATACACAGACAGAATATTTTTCAGGTGAGACACACAATCAGAAGGAAAGCAGGCAGGGAATAAAGGCATCGGAGCAGCAGCGCCTTCCAAGCACGGAACACCGGAGGCAGAGCCTGCTTTGGCTCCGCGGAGCCCGAGCAAGCCCCAGCGCCGCAGCTCCGGCAGGAGGAGCAGGAGGAGGAGGAGAAGGAGGAGGAGGAAGAGGAGGAGGAGGAAGAGGAGGAGGACGAGCTCCCTTCCTCCGCTGTCCCCTCTCATCCCCCCGCCTCCCCTTCCTGCTCGGGACGGAGGGACGCAGGGAAGCACTGTGAAGCCGCGCACTGTCGGGCACGACTTCGTCCCTCCGCGTTAGCGTGTGCCTAAATCCTGATATCCAGGGACGGAGCATAGCACCATCCGTCTCCCGCCCCCTGGGGCCGAGCACCGGCCGCTCTCAGCACCCCGGGCCCGGCTCCCCTCGCGGGGCCCTCCCCTCACGGGGCCCTCCCCTCACGGGGCCCTCCCCTCACGGGGCCGCGGCGCGACGGCGCCACCTGGCGGCCACCGAGCTCCCTGCGCCCGGGCCGCGCAGCTCCGCTCCGCCCCGCCCAGCCCAAGGTTTTTGAAACTTTAAAAGTCAATTCTGTGTCACTTTCCAGAAGCACCACTGAAATGAGAAACAGCATAAATTTTAGCAATAAATCCATCACCTGGCTTCCATTCTAACGTGGACCTCAGTGTGTTTTCAAGCACTTACATACCCATATTATTGCATGTAAGACTTAGTCCTAAACGATTTCCCTTGGAAATCACTATAATTCCTCTCTAGAGGACAGTTTCTGTTCTGTAAATAGGAGAATGTCAGATTTCCAGGTAACATGCCTATTCCCTAGGATTAAATACTACCTGCAGGCTGCAGGAGGGAAAGGTGAGCCCACTGCCGATTCATGTTAGCCAAGGAAAGCTCAAGGAAAACTCACAGCCAATTGACAGGCTCTTGGACTGCTCATTAAATTTCATCTTAGCCATTCCAAAAAGCAATGGGGCTCCATTTGTGCCAGTGGGAAATTTAACTGAAAATATATTGGACAAACAGGTGTCAGCTGGCCAACAGTTTCAGTTGTAATTACTGTCCAAGATGCAAAGGGATCCAGGCTAGATGTCAACCAAATAAGGCAACAAGTATTTCTTGATCCCAGAATGCTTTAAGGGAGTCTCTTCCTCTTTGCACTGGAAAAGGCTTTTCTCAAGCTTGTGCTATTTGTAAAACTCAATGTTAGGGTATGAAAAGCAACCATAAAGGATATGGTTCCTCATCTATGGTTCTTACCTTACTTTTATAAGTGGGTGTATTTCTCAGCATATGACTATATTAAGAAAATCTATTTCATCTTTTTTCCTCTCCTCATCCTTGTCTGCAGCTCTATTCTGTCTATTAAACTGGGAAAATACAAGGGAATTTTGGGATCTGCACTGTAGGCACTGCTTGAGCAGTCAGCTGACATGAATTGATACCAACCCTAAGAACCCTCAGCTGAAACACTATCTCTATCCCTCAGGCCACCCAGCTGCCTTCAGAACCCACCACCTGGCTGAGGAGGTAACATCACTCACCTATCACAAGCAATGTGATGGGTGTTGCTGCAGCACCTTGGGAAGCATGAATGTCCAGTTCCTCTCTGTTCCTTGTTTTTCTGCATTTCTTGCTTTACAGGTATAACTTGCTTCTTTTTTTTGTATTTCAGCAAAACCAGGATGTGATGTTGATCCATTGATGAACCATGACACACCTCCAATTTACACATGTACACATTTACAAATAATGGGGCTACTTCACAACAATCCAAGGCCACTTTTAACCCATTTTTTTCTCTTTACTCTTCTGAGATGCAAGGTGGCATCATTCCATATTAAAAAGCATTTAGCTAGTAACAAAATACAATTAGCCTTTGCCAGTCTTTGGAATTGATAGCTGTCACTACAGCTGTTAGTGCTGCATTAAGCTGCTGTACTTCAAAAAAAACAAACAATCAAATCCTATTAAATACATCACTGTTGTCAGGTGGGTGGTTTTCCTCTTCCCAACAGACAAATGTAATCCATTTTTTACTCCAAGCAGCTGTTTAGCTCCCCAGTTGCTAGAGTGAAGCAGAGCCTCTGCTCTAGGGTACTGTACTAAGATTTGGACTCCATGCAACTTTCACTTAAAATTCAAACCTTTCTTCAAGCCCAGCCCACCCTTGCTGTGGGTCACTTCTCCCTCAGACCCTCTGGAACCCCACCAGGAACCTAGCTTCAGGTTCTCCTCAGGAGCCTGCAGCAAGCAATCCACCCAGGTTTCTCAGTGTGATGTGAGCACAGCCTGACAGCCAGGCTAATGTGACCCCTCAAGTTCAGCCAGGATCCAACAGCAGTGAATTCCAGTACCTGAATTCCAGTCAGCACAAGCTCACTTGGTACAAACCTTTATTATCTCACACCTCCTTGCCACAGCTATCATTGAAACAACTGACATCCATATTTTACAGGTACCATAAAAAGTTACAAAGTGTAAATTACGCCGCGTAGTTCACAGAGTAAAAATACTCAAGGGTTGAGTTTCTGTCAACAGAATTTGGCACAGAGGTGCTCACACATGGGAGAACAGGCAGGAACTTCATCCTGAGCATGTCAGGCAGGCAGTGTTTGCAGGTTTAGAGGCACAGCTTCTCCTATTGATGGATGGCTGTCTTTACCTGTGGCATGGAAAGGCACAAAGAGAAGCACCCCAGGAAGCAGGCAGGCCCCAGGCAGTGTGGCATCCCACCAGGAATGTGAGTGCTGCCCAGCTCTTCCAGGTGCAGCTGGGGCAGGGTGTGTCACCATTCCTACCAGCTCCTTGCTCTGGCTGTGTCCAGCATGAGCTGCAACTGGAGCCTCTTGCTGCAGCAAACGTGGGCAGCTTCCTCTGCCTGCAGCAGGGCTGGCATTGGTGCCTGTGGTGGCCAAAATAGGTCTGTGGCTCAGGATTGCAGGGCTGCTTTATACATCCACACTAACACAGAGGTAAATATTTCAGATGACACCATGTCTATCACATTTACAGGCAGAAGTTCTATTTTAAAATAGCCCTGTACCCTAGACAAGTGGTTAATAAAAGGTAGTTTGAAAGGACCATCATAAGCAATATGCAGTGGTAACTGAGCAACAGTAAATATTTGAGTTGTTCGGAGATTTTGTTGGTTTGTTATTTTTTGTTGGGTTTTTGGTTTTGGGTTTTTTACCATCTCCATTGTTATAAAGCAATGACAGTATCAGTAGCCATAGCAACACAATCCCTACTTGTTCTACCTGAGCCAGTTAGGGATGGTACAGAGCCCACAGATAATTTCCTCATGGAATTCAGAGGAAAACCTGTTTATAGGATATATTTTGACCAGATATTGTCCCAAAATCAGTATCCACAAATTCCCTAGAAGTTTTGATTAATTTAATCAACAAAAAAAATTGTTACCTTCCATCTTCAACCCAATGCTAATATTTTTTAATTTATAGCTCGATTTTCTGTATCATTAAGGTAATGGGAAAAGAACAGACTGAGAATGAGAGGAAATATCTCATTAGAGCAGGTGATCTAGGAGAGCACAGTCTGACAGACTCCAAATCCTTCTTTCATGAATAATTCTCACTACTCATCAGTGCGGGTAATAAAGAGTCAAATCCAAAGGAAATTTCACATAACTGGCTAAGAAAGAGCAACTGCTCAGGGATCATGGCTTTATACAATCCTCAGGACCCTGAGACCTCTCCCCAGGTAACAAACCTGCCATGCCTGACCTCCCTAGAAACATGCCCTTCCAGAGCTGAAGCAGTCCTGACCTTAAGCTGGTGTCAAACCTGCACAGGCACAGTGCTTCCTCTTCTCAAACCCTGCTCCTAAACCCCATTTTTGCTGAATGATAAGTCACCACTCAGTATTCTCCATGCACAGAGACCAGAGATCTCAACCCAGGGAAAGGTGGGCAGAAAGTGAGGAAGCAAGATGCCTGCACCACAGTGATCATCAGTGAAAGAAAGCTCAGGTAGAGGTGAACTGTGGGCACATTGACAGCAGTCTGTCAGGGAAGAGGAGCTTCTTCAGGCACTGCAAATTCCAGCCCTGGCTCCCAGAATGCTTGTGTCATTGCAGAGAAAATGAGAACAGGACTCAGTGTTGTTTACATCCTGATGACAATAGGATGACAAGAAGGAAGAGCCCTCTTAAGGAAACCAACTTGTTGCTGGAGGGTTTTTTGGAGCACAAACATCTGCTCTGTCTGGCAAATACTTGTTTGGCTTTGGGGCGTTGGTTCAGTCAGAGTTCACTCCACAGAAGTCATTTCCACTCTTTTCTATAAACACCTTCCTCTTTCTAAGGATTTCCAGAATTTCTCTGGAACTTTCTTTCCAGAGTTCTACCTTGTTCTCAAAGGCCCAGGTGTGTTTCTCCCAAGAGCCTCCAGCCCATGGAATACACAATGTGTCCAGTACTGCTATTCCTGGAGCACCTCTGTGCCCAGCTGAGCCAGCTGCAGATGCCCAGGCTGCCTGACAAGCCCATGCCTGACCTGTCAGAGCCCCTCACTGATGTAATTCAGGCACCAAAACCACTAAAAGCAGAGCAAACTCTTCACTAACATCAGACTGCAAAGTCTGCAGGCAGTCAGAAAGTATGTGCAAATACAACAATTTATCTCATAAAAATTCAGTAATATATTAAAATTCTTTCCATACACAATAATCTCCAAGACCCAGGCATTTTCACTGAAAAAGAGTTTGGCTAAGATTTTTTTCTTTTCTTTTCTGAGGTGGATCTCCACATTTAGGATAAACCTTTTCTCAAATCCAGGCACCTGGTTTATATACAATGCATCCTCTTAACCTGCTGCAGCTGAGCTATGCTCACACTGCCTTGGCACTGCAGCTGTGTCACCCTGCAGCACCAGCTTAACACATCCCCACATCTGTCAGTGGGGAAAAAAAGGAATTATCAAGTACAATTTCCTTGGTGAAATTTCTAAACTGACTGAAGAAACTGGGCTCCACTTCCTTCTGTGCAAGTGCTTGACACAGGATTATTTTTAATTTGCACAGGATGAAGAGTTCACATGATTCCCTCTTTCTCCTGTCCTGTGCCTGTCATCTCTTGTGAGGTTGAAACTACCAAAGCTGCTTCATCTTCCAAACTTATGATCCAAAGCACAGATTGTCCAGAAAAGTCACATCATTCAGTGCTTCCCACCATCTAGCACACACATGCACACAAAAATCTCAACATAGTTCTCCAATCAGAAGGTTTGCTCTGCTCCATGACTTGGACATACCATTTTTGCCAATATCCAATTCTGGGTAGGGCTGAAAACTCCTATTTATTCTTGAATTCTCATGTAAGTGGTTTACAGCAGCCATCTGCTGAAAACATACACCTTCATTCCTGTGGAAGAGCAGCAGGGGTTTCTGACATTCAGAGGAGAACCTGATGTCATGTTTGATAAATGCTGGTAAACCTCTCAACCTCTAATCAAAGACTTTGATTTATGCTTCTGCTACTGATCTCATGCTGGGGCAATTGCCTGTCCTCAAGCTGTGGTAAGAACATCTGTGTGGAGTCTCTCACTCACATTTCTGGCACACATGAACCTAAAAGGACAATCAAAACAGCACTGGCTTCAAGGCTTACATCCCAATGATCCCTCCCCCCACCACCCAAGAATAAGATAAAAATCATTAAATCCTCTAATAATCCCTTCTTAAAAGTATTCCTTACATAAGGATAATTACAGATTGCAAAATATGGATCGCAAGAAAGACATCTTTGAGCAGACACTGTTTCTTTGCATGAGATTTGGAATTACAAATTGCAATTTGCTACTCGAAGATGAGAGATTTATGCGCAGGGATGCCATAATTGCCTTTGTGTTCTTCAAATAATTTCTTTAGTTTCTGTAGATACAATGCATGGAGCTGATCAATCTCTTCAGTGGTGGGGTTCAAGTTCTGTTTTACAGGGATGGGGCTTCCCACTGTAATTCAAAAACAACAGCATTAGCTTCATTGACATCTCTTTTTAAGCAGAAGTAAGAGCTTCACCACAGCTCCCATCCAGATTGCAGAATCACAGCACAGTTTTCTTACCCTGGGGCCTGATCCTGCCTTTCACAAGCCTGAGCCCTTGGGCTGGTTTTTCACTGACTTTTGCTGAAGTTCAGATAAAATTAATTAACACCCCCACCCCTCAACATTTCAGTTTGGCAGCAGAAGAGCAAATGAGAAGAGCGATAAGCTCTGACTTGAAGAAGCAGTTTACACTTCAAGATTCAATCCTATGGGTTATGTGCTGTCTACAAGTTCAACACAGTATTTTAAAAAAATGTACTTTCTCACTGTTTTCTGATGTGAATAATAAAACCACTCAATGTGAGGTGTGCTTAAGAGGACATGGTGCCCTCAACCACACTGTCACATGGACAGGACTGAAGGAAATATTTCTCTTCCAATTTATTCAAAATGGATATCACTGCACCAGAAATGTGACCTCAGCCTAGGGAGGGGCAGCATGTAGACCCCCTACACCCTGTGAGGTGTCTCTGAGCCATCCATTGCCCACAAATGGCACTGGAACCAAAATGTGACATTTGTGGGCAATGCCTGCTACCTGCTCCATGGGAAGTGACTCCATGGAAATCCAGAGGGCAGCCTTCTCTTCCACAAGAGGCTATGGCTAAAAAGTGGGTTGCTAAGAGAAGCTTCCCATGATCTCAGTGTCCCTGTGGTGTTCAGTCACCAGATTTTGACAGCTATTCTTGCACTGGAAACACCAACACCTTAACAGATCCAATTGGGATTACAGAGGAAGCCTAGAAAAACACAGAGCTAAAAGCACCCTCAGGACTTTTCCAAAGGCACCTGAAAATTCCTGTTAAGAGATGTTGCCACTTCAGATTGGATGGTGATGACTAAAGGGAAGCCTGGCCAGAACCACAAAGAGCTGAGTCTGCATTTTCCTGCTGCAGCTCCAGCTGCACCAGCTCTCAGGCCTGTGTGGGGCTGAAACTCAGACTTTGCACAGCTGGGGTGGGAACCCATGCCTGGATTGAGCAATACCTTAGAGGGGTGTGAAATCAATATACATACAATACAGGATTTCCAGAGGCAGGACTGGAAACAGCAAACAGCCCCCAATCCCTTCTGCAACAGTCTCTTCTCCCAAGAGTGAAGATTTCTTGTGGGATGGAAAACTACACTCATCTCTCTAATATTATGTGCAGCTTTAAGGAACTTGCTTAATTTGATATTTTAGGGCTGTTTCTAGTTCTGTAAAGCAGTAATTAAAAAAAAAAAAAAGTAAAGGAAAACCAAAAGCACTCATCAAGCCCAAACCAGTCAAATCCACAGATCTTGGCTTGGCTGAAGGCTCTTGGACCCATGGCTTCTGAACCAGGACTGGAATCAGCCATACCTGGCCACGTTGGCAGCACAGCTCATCACCCCAGGTGAGCTCACTGCAGCTCTCAGGAGCTGAGGCAATGCTTTCAGAGCCATGTTGAAGCCAAGAACACCCCACAAACTTCCAAGGACATGGGGACATTTGTGATGTTCTCAAACATGGGGAAAGATCCACAAAAGGCAAAGGACCTTGAGAGATCTTACAAGTTCTGTTGCAAGACTCTGGTCTTGCTGATTTGTAGCACTCCTGTGCTTTTGTCATGATGAAGAAATGCCTCATAAAATAAGACATTTTAAGCTTCAGAACAGCCCTGGTTTTATCAGCCCAAAAAAAAAAAAAAAAAAAAAGCAGATTATAGATCTCATCCAATACAGCTCATTCCATAAATTTGATAACTTTTTGGCTTTAAAATAAGTGGCTTTTTTAGCCTGCCTGTGAACAATGCAGGCATTAAAAATTAAATATTTTCAAAATATTCAACTGCATGAAGTGATAAAACACAGATCTGCTTGAAATTTAGCATAAAAAGAGCTATGTTTTTGTCTTAAAAATTTTTATTTGTTTAATACTATAATAGAATCAACCCCATAAAAAGGGAGGGCCACCTTCAAAGTCCCTTGTGGAACACCAGAAAAGCTCAATTTTCTTTAGTTCTCTCAGGTCAGAATCTGGCTAAAAATGATTTACCAAAAAAGAGCTATTGCCTTTGCATGAGACCCAGCATCACCTATTTTGTAAAGGTGTGGTTGTCAATAAAACCATGAAAAATATGTTCAGCTCCACACTCCAGTGAGAGTAGATGAGCAGTAATGAAAGCTTTTGGGGAAGAACACTCTCCCAAACTGCCAGTTGATGTGGCATGCACACTCCAATTAAACATGACAGGATCTTTCCAAGGGAAAAAGCCAAGAGGGAAGGAAAAACCCTAAAGAGCTGCAAAGCCATCTAAGTGGGAGCCTGCCCAAGGGCTGTGGCACCACAAGGTGTCCTCTCCCCTTCCTCCTGCATCTCTCCCTCTGGCCTGATGAGCACCAGCTCAGCACCACACAAACCCTTCCAGCAGCCCTGCTCCAGAGCTCTGCTGTACCTCAGCTGCAGCATCCAACTGTGACTTCTCTGCAGAGCTAAGAAATTAAGGTTCTGGGCTTCACACGAAACATCAGAACCCACAGCAACAGCTGCAGAGCTGTGGCAGCCCTCTTGGAAAAACTGGACAACTCTTGGATTTCTTCATGGATTGCCAAGGATAGGAGCCTATGGATAACTGAGAATGAAGAGTAATATTTGGCCAGAAAAGGGAAAGGAAGATAAGAACTGCCCCCTTTAACTGGGAAGGACAGTAAAGCTCACATGCTTGTTTTAGATGCACACTAATTAATTCTGTTAGAACAGATTTATAAATTTACAGATATTAGCAGCACATTGATGAATTTTTAAACATTTGCAAACACATTAGAAAAGGTGCAGGGAACTTACCAACTGTGTGAATAGGTTGCCTGTAAGGTATTAAGCCAAAACTGTATTGGAATACTCCTCTAGCATGAAACAGTGGCAAAGCAAAGCCCATTATCTTTTGCAACTTCTCCTGTACATTCCTGAGCCATGAACCTTTGGGGTTTGCAACCTGCTTGAACAGTTCATTTTCACCAAAGGAAAACACTGGGACCAGATGAGCCCTGTAAAACAAAGAGGACACTGAGAATTTTGCATCAGCCTGCATTTGCACTGCAGTTCACATCAGCAGCATGGAAACAGTTTCACAATAACCAGCATAGAGAGTTTCAGCAGCTTTGGATTTCATCAGCAACAGGCATTCAACTCCTCTCATGTGCAGCAGTTTTTTGGATGCCTTGGCTGGTTGGTGTTTAAAAAAAAAAAAGTGATTGGCACACAACTAGCAACTTGCTTTTGGCAGTATTTAGTTGGTTGGTACCTATTGCAACTTGTGACTGTTTGGAATTATGAAAATGAGTTATTGCATATATCATAAGTATGTCTTTATCCACTACTATTTCAGCAAGTCCACCCTTGTTCCACTACATTTTTTCCCTTGGCAAGCACAGAAGCCTCATTACTAACTTTATAATGCTCCCAGCTGGGTGGCATCAAAACCAGACCTTGGCTTTCCCTTGTCCTCTGACCGGAGTAATGTGTGCCCTTGATTTCAGCACAAAAACCTTGATAAAAACCAGACACCCTCACAGACACGAGTGCAATGCCAAATTCCTTCTCTGTGTCCAATTCCCAGCCAAACTCTGCTTCCTCTGGACTTCTTAGAAAACAGAAGCCCTAATCCATTATTACCAGAGGTCACATCTTGCCCACAGAAATTACATGAACCCACTTTGGCTCTTGCACAGCCTAATGAATTCTCATTCAGTTCATGAATTGGCCTGGGAGCAAAGGCACTGCCTAGCTCCTGGACAAACAGCCTGAGTGGATAGAATCAGTGCAGGTAAATCTAGCATTGTATTTAAAACCATGGCTGCTTTTTGATTCTTAGTTTCATTAACTATTCTACAGAGTTTAGAGAAAAAAAAGCAGGGTAATCCTAAGCAGTCTCTGAAGGATTCAGGGATGTTTTCTTTACTTAAATCTTAGTTTTTGTATCTTAGCTCTATTCTGTCCCCACTCCCTTTGAGAAAAACCTTACTGTAAAATAGCAGTATTGCTAGAACATTGTCAGGATGAGTATGTGCAGAGCTGTGAATGCCTGAGGAGGATGCACTGAGGACAGAGCTGGCTGGAAGCACTGAGTTCTGTCAATATCCACCTGCACAGTAAAAATCAGCTGCTTCAACAGCTTCTTTAGCCTGAGGACTCACACTGACTATCATTCCCACATACTGTTCTGACTAGTGTCTGCTCAAAGTTTCTTTCTCCAGTGCATGTATCACCCTGCCACCTGTAAAAGAAATATCATAAAGCCTGGTGCTTACTGTGGCTGTGTAAACACTTTTTACTACAACACTAAGACAAACAGGAACATCTTGTGCTGCAATAGCTCTGGTGCCCTGACACTGTGGGATTTGTTTTAATCTAGTGAAGACTTTTGCAAGATGCTATGTAGGAGGCTGAGACAGAGAAATAAGTAACTTATGATTGTGAAATTAAAGATAAGTTATCTGATTCATCATTTGTTTTGTGTCTTTAGGATTTCTTCACTTTGTATCAGATATTTGTACTACCTTGGACCAAAATGTCTTTTGCAAAAGTGCAGAGGACATTTGCTGACATATTCAGGCCACAATTGACAAGCTCCTAGCTGAGGAACACAGCTTCTCTGTGCTGGCAGCACAGGAGTCAGGGCCAGGGAGCACAGGCCTCTGCACTGCCCCTTCCTTCCTCAGTTGGTATTTGCTGCTGCAGATCATGATGAGCATCAGCAATGTGTGCAGGCACTGGTGGCAGATGGGGCTTCTCATCTGCATCCCACAAGCCTCCCTGGCCCTTTCATTTCCAGTTGAGTTGGAAATTTTCTTCCCATTTTGTTAATTGTTAAAAACAAGACTTCAAAAGCAGAAGCAGTTACTGGATGCCAAGTCTTTGGGCAAGAGCTCTGTTAGACTTGCACAGTCCCCCAGCCCTGCTGGACAGGTGAGCAGGCAGAATTCCTGTATTGCCACAGAAGCAGGTGTTGGTGCTGGTGTTTGTAGGAATAACTTGGAGCCTGCTGCTTACATGACCATGGGTGTTGCAGCCCTTAGCCACTGGGCAGAGACAGGCACTGCCACCCAGAGGAGGGCTCTAGGCAGCCATGACCCTTTCAGAAAGATTGGACCATCACTGGAATCTAAGTAAGTGAAGAGGTAAAGGGGCCATTCCTGTGTTTTGTAAGTGTCCCACTCTTGCTGTTATGTGTTGGAGATACTTTTGAAATCAATGTCTTGAGAGGCACAGGTGGATCTGATTTCTCAATCCAAATCAATTTAGATGAGAGATAATCACCACCAACCTTTGTGATATGACAGACCAGACATCTACCAACATACTAATAAAAACAAAAAAAAAGTATCTAAATATTCTTCTAATCTTTATGGTTAAAACAAATAAAAGCTAGTGAGTGTTGAGGATCCCACTGAATTAATCAACAGTTGGACTCAGGACTCATGTAGTCAGTAAACTCCTAATTCAAAGAAACAAATATTTTTTCTGGCTACAAATTAGACTAGAATGTTAGATTCTGTTGGCACAAAAAATTCTTTATGAGAATCCTAGTGATATGTGTAAGAAACACCCTTGGAATTTTGGCACAGAACAGTTGCTAGTTTTTTGCACTCTGTGTAAAAGCAGAGCCCCTCTTCTCAGAGACCACTTTTTCTCCAGTTAATAGCTTAAAAAGCTGCTACAGATTTCTCAAGACTAGTATTTTTTCTCATTGCTTCACATGTCAATGTTTAATCCTGGGAGCTGTTCAGAAAGTGTACCTGGAACAGAACATTGGTTTCAATATTTCTAATATACAAACCATCTAGACCAGTCCAGAACAAACACAATAACTTATACTGTGTAAATCACTCAAAAGACATTGATACCATCTCTGTTTAGTAACACACTGATGGCTGCTTCATAGTAAAAAGTTATCTAGTTTTTCTTGAGATTTTCACCAAAAATTCCCAGGAATTTAATTCTGCAAATGGCAATATTCAAAAGTCTTTAGAAAACAAATCTTCCTAGACCATAATTCTCAGTGATTTAATGAAACAGAGCCTGGCTATCCAATTTGTTTGTTTGTTTGCTTAAAATGATAAGAAAATTCTACCTTAATGTATCTTTAATTTACAGAACAGAAAGCAGAATGTTGGCCCTACTCAGAAAACCAGTCAAGATTTACTAATATTGTTTCATAATTCTTACTCTTTGCTAGTGCAGGAAACAACTGAAATAAAACAAGATATGCTAACAAAACCTACTGTTACAAATTATGAAAGTCAAAAGGAATTTTCAACACTCCCAGAGTGGATCTAGGTGGACAGATTGGCTCCTGTGCCAGATATCTGCAAGTTCTTAGACACTTAAACTCTTTCAAATTCTCTAGTATTATATAATATGAACTATATTTAAGAATCAATCTGCATTCAAAGCATGTTTCATGGAAGACCTACCCATGTTTCAGGGCCATTTTAATAAAGCCCTTCCTCTTGAGGATGTTCAAGGTGAGACTTCCAGGATGTGCATTCAGAGATTCCTCTGCTCCTCCAATGACAATGACAGATGCATGGCCACCTCCTTTATTGCTCAGCACATGGGAGACACTTTCCTTGGATGCAGAAACCATTCCTTCAGGAGGAAACATTTTGAGAGTGACCACTGGATCTTCATGTACAAGTACAGTGGAATTTAAGAATATTTTTGAATATATAATTGATGTTTCAAAATTACAACAGCACAGACCAGATTTCAAAGTTTTGGGTCAAGCTCCTTACTCTGGAACAGATTTGGTTTTGGGCACGTACTTTGGTTTCACACTGATGAGTTAAATGCTGTTGCCTATTGCAAGAGTTTTGAGTTCTTCTGGGTGTGCTCTTCTGGCAACTTAACTCCTCCTCAGAGAGCCTCTGTGCCCGAGAACAGGAGGTGAATGGCAGCAGATACTGCTGAGAGGCAGCAGCTAAAGCTGTACAGCAGGTGCATACAAACACAGCCACAGAGGGGTTAACAGGATGTGTAGAGGACTTGTTAACTCAAACATGGAGCTACAGTGCCAAGAAGATCCCTCCACTCTTTTCACAGCTATAAAGCAGCAGCTCCATCTAAGGCAATGGCATGACAGCATTAGAAGAAGCAGAAAAGACTCACTTCTACCATTCCTAATAACTGCATCAGCTCGTTCTCTAGTAACCAGGCCCAGGCACTCATCAATATTTAGGCTAACATAGCAGATTATCTGAAGCTTTTCTGGTACTCCTGCAGATATAGATACTTCTAATTGCAGGCACACTGCTGTACAAGACTTTATCATCTCCTTAGATCTTGCTCTGGACTTGATGCTTTAAAAAATTCATTTTCCAACAGCCTAGCACCTAATGTTTCAAAGGTTCCTTTTACCCAGAAGCTATGTTTAATTACACTGTGTTGAATTCATATAATCTAAGTGACAATTTAGAGATGAAGTCTAGTTTACATTGTTGGTTATACAGAGCTGGTATCAAAATGCACTTTTGGATGTTCTGCTCCCTGCTTGGTCTTTTTACCAATAGGGACATTACAATGTGGATTATAAAAATTTGGGAAGAGAGAGAAGATCTGCTTTTGAGAGCTGGCCACCAAGAGGAATAGCTTGCAACTGGAGCAAGTCCAGACCTCAGTAAAAAGCTACATCCATTTGCCTCAAACACCTTCACAGTCACTGTTACTCTGAAAATGCAGCTGACCTGGGACTCACAAATAATTCAAGTGGTGCTCATTCAAGTCAGCATGCATTTTCCCTGGAAAGAAGAGCAGAAATCACTGCCTTTCCCAGGGACAAATGTCTCCCCTGCCGAAGCAGAGCTGCCCTGCATGCTCACACCGCAGCCCAGGGGTGTTGCAGCTGCACTGCCAGAGGCAACAACTGCATGTGCTAGACAAGCAGAGAAAGAATGGGACATGAAACACTGTGCCAGGAGCGTGGCTTTCAGGACATGGAAGATCTTGCAAGTGTTTTATGATTGGAGTGGTGATCTGTATTATACCAAAGGGTCCCCTCTCATTTATCAGCTGCATGCCTGTGAAAACCAAGCTCCACTGCTGGCTCTTCTTTAGTGTGCTTTTTACTGCAGCTCTTTCTCATTCTGCAGGTAAATATTTGTTCCCATGGGTCAAGATGCCAAAAACATGTAAATCTGACTTCCAGACAATGATTAAACAACAGGGTTTAAAACTGCAATGCTCTACCATTGCCAGGTACCACTTTGCAAGCCTCAAAGACGCCCTCAGAAATTACATTTGCATGGAAAGGCATTCTCTGATATGTTGAAGTATACATAGATAAGTAATTCTGATATCAATCTGGGAAACATCCTAGGCATGTTTCTGTGCATGGAGCAGTGGAACAGCCTCTCTGAGATTGCAGTGTCTGTGTTGCAGTCATGAATAAAGTTAGATCTCTGTCTCCTGAACTTAGTCGTGGGCATCAGAACATGCTTAAATGCTGTGGTTGAGTGAATTTAAATAAAATAACTCATTTATTAAACCACTGGGAGGGAGCATTAGTACTTATTTCATTCTTCTCTTTTTTCAGTTCCCCCAACTCAATTGCTTGTTATTTTTATCTTTTATTGCTGTAGTACCAGTCATGAATATCACTCCTTTCTGAACAAATGCTTCTCAGAACAGAGAAAAAAGGTCCCTCTCTTTAGAGTTTACATCTCAATTAAAATTACACAAATTTGCAATATAGGACTTCAATCAGAAGCAAGCACTTAATTTCTGAGTATAAAGATACTTGCAATGTATAACACTAAGCCCTTCAGGTAAGAGATTAGCCTGAATTTGTTGTATAATTGCCTGCTAATGACTAAATAAAATTACAAAATATTATGCCCTTCTCTTCTTGTATATACTGGGTACTCAGGACTGCTATCTGATAGTTCAAAGGAAAAGCAGCAATTTCTTTTCAGAAAGAAAAAACAACTCAGTAATATAGTTTACAAAACTATTAATAAAACCTTCCAATTGTTTTTCCACAACAGTTCATCACAAAATAGAGGTTAAATTTAGCACCAACAGTGATCCTTCTGAAATTACTTACCATATATTAGTAGAGGAATAGACTCTACATTTGTAACAGAAGCTAAAATATGGAGCAACAGCTGAGACATTCTGCTTTTACCTACCAGCACTCATTATGTATTCTCTGAAGAAGGGACAGCCAAACCAGATGGGCATGATATGGAGATATGGAGTAAGGCCAGGAAATAAATTTTTGAAAGGAGGATCAGTGCAAAAGTTTCCAAAGGCTCCAGCAACCAGGACCCCATGAGGGTGAAAGCCAAGTAAGTAGTTGTGATTTGGGTTCAGTTCTGAAGTTTTTATAAGCTGAAAAATAGAGTCAGTGATAGGCATTATGATATTTACCTCAAAAACAACAGCTATGGAGATTGCACATTGATTGTGCAAAAGATTGACAGGACATAGAAGCAACAACAATGAATTTCCTTCTGAGCACTTAAAATTACTGTCCTGCTTTACAGATAAACAAAGCTTAAATGGATGTGTCAGGATACCATGTCCAGATTTACTGTGCTGAAGCACCACCTCGTCACCCAACAGTCCACCTAGAAAACCAGGCCCTGTCCCCTTTTGTCACTAAATCTCAGATTTCCCATGTTTTAAAAAGACGTTCACCCCAGTGAGAGTATTAGAATTTTAGCAAAGATGAGTCTTAGATGTCTGTCCATGGTTCTGGCTATTCAAGGTGTTTGTGAGAAACCCTTTACTCACATGAATGGGAAAGTATTCCCTGAAGTACTTCCAGACAGTCCAGCTCCTGACCCAGTGGGACCGCCTGCCCCCAGCACATGGTGTTCCCCAGTCGAGGTACAGCCACAGCAGGTACAGGACAGCAAGGAACCAGAAGTTGCCCAGGATCAGGATCACAAAGAATCCACAGCAAAACTCTGCTACAAGAGACAAAAAGTGAAAGCATAGCAAGCATTAATCACATCTGTGTCCTTTTAAGAATGCCCAGCCCTGATATGTTTTTAGAGATTTACTCAAAATGCACACAAATTGAACTCAGCTTATTCCACATGGTGTTGTTACAGTGAGGGTGAAACATTACAAGGCTGTATCATCTCAGTCTATTATTTCTCCCTCTACTGCACAACTGGATGTTTGGTAGAGAGCATCTGGTTTACCTAAGGCAAAATAAAAGGAGACAGCAAGAGTTAACAAGGATGTAATGCTTCAGGGAGTGAGAAGAAAGGAAAGCTGGGGAAGCAAAGAAGGGAAAAGCCACAGCAACCTCTCTTTTCTAATTACAGTGATATTGGGCAATCATTTTCTATTCTCCTTCTCAGCTTCTCTACCTATAGTATGGAGTGATAGTTCCACTCCCAGCCAAAAGTGCTGTCACTGGCCAAGGAGATGCACTAGACAAGACCAAAACATGGAGAGGTTCCACTTCAGCCACTAAACCCGTCAGCCAAAGGGGAAGTTCAGTGTTGCTGTGGGAATGTAACAGCAGCTAAGCCCTGATACTTTCAAACCCAATTAAAAAAGAATTGTAACACCCTGCTACAATTGTGATATATAAGAATTGTATTATACACAATTCAAAGAGCAGAAAAAAGTTGTTTGGTTAAATATATTTTGTTACTTGGGGCTCAGCCTTGAAATAATTACTCAGGGAAATCCTATGGAAACTTTATCTTTGTAGAACCTGCAGAATTTTAGTTTTGGAGTGTGTTGAAGAGCTGTGGTCTGAGATGTCTGAGGAGTAGGAGCTGCTGCTCTCTGCCCTGTGGTACCCCTGCAGCAGCCTGCTTGCTCTGCCACCTCCTGAACAAACCCCATCAGGCTCATGGATCAGAGGCTGAAGTCCAGGTTGCAAGGGAGCCAGGGCTTTAACATCATAAATTTATACAGTGGCAAGCAAAACAGGACCTAGCTCTCACTGAAGACTCAATGGGCAGAGTTGCAGGAGCCCAGTGTTTTTCAGAGATATTTTACAATGCAGAAGCAGTAATTTATGTCTCAAAATTGACTGGCTTTCATGAGGGAAATATCCTGTGAAGTCCTAGAAGTTACACCAGTGAAACATACTGAGCTAAATACATCACTAAATAGAGCAGATTTAAAAACAAACAACAGAAGTACTTCAGGCAATAATTTGGCTCGCACAATGTAAAATATCACCAGAATTGAAGACTTCAGAATAAGGAGATGAACCAAGAGTAAAACCCACTCATCCTAGCTCAGAGATCACCTTCATTCAGGAGAGATATTACTTGGGTGTTGAAAAGTCAGCAGATTCCCTAGACTGTGCAGGTTTTGAGCTGAGATCTCAGCTTGGTCTACAGGCACATTACCATTTTCTCCAACCTGAATATTTAATTTTTCCTGAACTTCAACCAGTTTGTTCCTGAGCCTAGTTTGACTGTGCCTTCAGAACAGAATTGGATATCTTGTCTAGAAGGGGATGAACGTTTACATTTCCAGCAGAAATATGAGCAGAAAAATAAGGAATTACATTTGCTCTGAGGAAGGGAGAAGGAGATTACCATAAACAAATGCAGGAGCAGGACAAAACCTGCCATTTTCAAGGATACTGCATTCTTCAGTACAGAAGCTCACTGCTGCTTCCTCAAGCAAGCAACCCTGGTCTTGCACAGAAAAGCACTTCAGCAAGAGCTCTTGAAAACACCACAGCTAACTGAGGCCCACAGACCCCCAAGTCAATGTGGAAAACTCACAAGAACTGAAATCAGTTCTAAGGAACATCATTAATGCAGGACAAGTAACACAGATGAAATATGACACCTCAATTCTACAAGGAATTTCACAGGGAAACCCACAACAGCATCACTCCAAAATAGGGCACAGAAGTCTATTGAGGAAAAGTCATTACCTGGTCCTTGAAGAAGAGCTCCTGAAACTATAGAAATTTCTAGGAATGCTAATCTGGACAGGGTGCCAAGGTTCTTAGTTTGAACAAGTATGAGAAGTTTCTTTAGCAGCTATAAATCAATTGATTTGTTATGCAAGATTTAATAAGTATTTAAATTTCCTACCCTTCCTTTCAGAAGCACTTTTGACTTAACAGAGAATCAATCACATGGCTTTTTACTATCAGTTTGCTAGCAAGCAGCTGAAAAGTGCTTTGTAGCCAAGCATCCTTGCTGTGAGAGCTAATTTCATCAGCACTGAGAAGGCCCAGATAGCAGTACTTAATCCTGGTCAGACAAACATCTCCACATCAACAAGCTGCCTGCTTTGCTTTAGCTAGGACACCTTCCTGAGTGCTGGCAAGGTGTGGGGAGATAAGTATGCTGCTAGCACTTCCTCAGGGGAGCTCAGCATCTTGTAGGACAAAGTTGATTACTGCATTCCCAATGAGACATGTGAGGCAAATTCCTTTTGCCATACCTCCTCATTATTTCAACGAATTAGCAGCCTGCAAGATGAGCTAAACACTGATGACTCAAAACCAATGAGACTGTAAACACAAACCTGATGTTTTCTCCTCCAGACAAGACAGTGAGTAAATAAATAACAACCTTTTTAAGTAAATTCATAAACAAATTCCAGGCAAAAGGTGAATAACTTGGGATTTGTCACTCTTCAGCATCATGTTTTTGGATGTAGTTCCAGTGTACATTCTAAGTGTAATGTTTTGTTTGAACTTGAATTAGAGATTTGAAAAGTATCTCTGTGATGTATTGGATTTTGAGGGTAGGTGAGGGGAGATAAGGAAATATAGACTAAAAGACAAATCACTGCCAGGAAACTCTGAACATTTGGTTTGTGAACCAATATTGGCGTGTTACTTCTCCATTTTGCATTTGCAACACATGCATACTCATATTTTGCAACAAATGGTGAAAACCACTCTATGTAGGGTGAGCAATCAGCACTGGCAGCCATCCTGCCCAATGATATTTGCACAACTGATCCTTCAATCATTAATCAGGCTCTGAGTTTGCAACTGGGGGCACCAAATGTATGAAACAGTTAAATGTCAGAGATAGGCGGCAGGAAAACAGCACAGGTTGAATCTGGAAATTGGAAGTTTCAAACACATTTGGAGTTACTACGGCATCAAAACTGTTTGATTAATATCTGTTGTGAAAGCCACCAAATGCAATATTGTCCCTTGAGGAGAGAGCTCCCATTACGCTCAGAGCAGTCATGGACAGCGTGGGCAGAGCAGGTGTGTCCCTGGTGCCAGGGGTGCTGGTGTCACCCCAAGCAGCACTACAGGCTCTCTGCAGTGCTCCAAAAACCAGGCAAAGGAGCTCACTCCAAAACTGGTTGGGCAGCCAGCTTTTGTTGGATTGGATCAGTCTCCTGTGAAGACTTTTGTCAGGTTATTGGTTACACCTGGGAGCCACAAAGACACCTGAGCACTCCTGCCAAGGCAGCTGTATCTCAGCAGGGCTGTGACAGCAAACACAAACACTCAGATGCCAAGCTTTAGAGGCCTGTTGATGCTGAAATTTGGTTCCAAGTTCCCAAGACCTTCCACTGGCAAACACTGATAAACTAAAGATAGAGAGCATTACACACAACTGACCTGGAGGAAGAGTGGCCTGGATACCATAAATCCCCAAGTTACTAATTGCCAAATCCCAAGACAGCATGCCAAATTTAATCTATATGTTTCCCACTTCTTTTCTTTCCCCTTAGGGATTCACTGTCACTTATGTTCACATAAGGGTTGTCAGGCTAGGGTCTCTAGCCTGACACAGCACAGCTGTTTTTTCTTAGTATTTTTGAGAGATACAAACAAATACTCACAAATACAAACAAATACTTGATTAAATTCCCTCCCTAAGATGTAGGTAACAGAGGCAGCATTCCTAAAAATACTAGTCAGTAATAAACCCTGTTATTCTCTGTGATCACACTTCTACCCATAGGCCACCAATAAATTTCATGGATAGATGAGTACAGAGTGACAAAATCAAGTAGCAATACCAGCCAGCTTGCTAGGAAAGGCTCATGGAGCTTAGCTGAGTTTTCTTAAGCATCAAAAGAGTTTGTTTTTTTTAAAGACTTTGAGGAAGAACAAAACTATATTAGTTATCTAGCTATTGCTGATGAATTAAATCAGCACCAGATAACAAACCCTTGTGGCATGTTTGCAAGAAAGGTTAATATTTGCTTTAGCACATTACACTGACACCTTCTTTCTCAACACAGAAACCACTTATTATTCCAGCAGCAATCTCTCACTCTGTGGCAAACGTTTCATCATTTCTACTCTTTTGGGGAAGCCAGATCCACAACTCAAAACTGTCTCCAGCAAGTTCAATTAACAGACTGCTTCATCCTACATGCACAGAAGTTTAATCACTAGAGAACAGGATGTAGTTTAACATATACCAATGTCCTCAGCATATTATTTTGTGGCTTTGTGCATATTAAAGAATACCTTATATTATATACTGATTTTGCATTATTAAGGGTTTTGCAAATAATTAGGGGTACCTGCACAACAGTCACTTCCTAAATCCCCAGTGAGGAGACCAGAGACAATGCCCCAAAAGTGGGCCTTAGGAGGTGCACTATTCTCCTCTACCATCACCTTTTCTCAGAGAAAAACCCTGGTATCCTGGCTGGATGAAGAATTAAACTCTCATTTCCTTCTCTCATTGTCTGGCCCTAGACACCACCACTCCACCCAAGCTGCTCAGTTTTGCATTTGGTTTTGTACATGTTCAAACTCCACTGTCCATTTTCACATCAGGGGCACAGAAGTTAGCAGGAGCACATAGCTCACCAACTCACCTTCTAGCTTTGCTTTCTTCAAAAATGCTGTCATTTGATTTGTGTACATTAGAAAGAAAGGAAAACAAAAGACTAAAGCACTGGGAAAGCAGCATTTCAACCAAATCTGACTGATTTTTCTTTGTTTTAATGGTTTTGCCTTTAAATGAGCCCTTTGCTCTACCTCCTGATACAAAGTGACCCTCACTGACAGATGTGCAGTATGAGGCACACAGCTCACAGCACACACCAAGGATAAATGCCCATCTGCTGTGTGAGAAACAGAAAACCTACACCTGTTCCCAATAAGAGGCTATCAAGCATATTGGTAAATGCAGCAAAATTAATTCAAAGTTCTTTAGAAAAATATTTCCAAGCTTAAAAACAAAGATTTCCTGCAAACAACAGGCACATCCATTGCATCCAGTGACAATTCCTTTATGCACAATGAACCTATGATAGAAAAATTGGAGCTATGTAAACTCTTTGCTTTGTCAGTCCTGCAGCACTCACAGGCTTGGAGATGTTATTTCTCCAGGTGACTTTCTGCCTGGGCTTGGGCTGGACAGTGGCACAGAGTGACCAAGAGCAGCCAGCACACAGGCTCACAGGCAGACATACTGTGGGTGTTGCATGGACTTGAGACAGGGCCAGACCTGCCCCAGGACTGTCAGCCCCCGGCCAAGCAAACAAATCCCAAATAACTGCAATTACAGACATAAAACTACCATCTGTAAAAATTGTCTGGTTTAGCCTTTTATCCAAAGTAGATATATGAGATTGCAAAATTTCATGTATCTGCTGTTTCAGCAGTAAAACACTAATGGCTTGACACTATACTTCAGCCTGAAGCTGGTTTGGATTTGTGCTTAACACAGTGAGAAATAGCATTTGCCAGTTTTCAGTTTTAACAGCTTTAGTTTTCTGGACTCAAGACTAGTAACACTTGTCTTTCAAAAGACAGAAGCCCAATTAAAATACTTCTCTCTTTCATGGAACTTATATCCAAACTTTTCTGGTCTGCTGACTTGGAGAACATAAGATAGAAAACCACATGGCATTTTCAGTCAGCACACAGTGGGAATCTGTTACCAATGGGCATTTCTCTGATCTAATCCAGAAACTCTTATATTCACCTCCCAGTATTTCAGAACTTATTTTTGTTTCCGGTGTCATGCCCCTGGATAAAGAACAAGCAAATCACTGTTACAAAGAAAACTTGTCTTTTCCCTTTGAGGGTGAACTTTGGCAGCTTGCAGCACAGAACAAGGAAGTACAGGAACTTACAGCCAGAATTTTAAAGAGGTTCCTTTTGTATCTAATGAAATTCTGTGCACATCTGTACAGCTTTTTTGAGACAGAGGCATGTTTACTCTGCCTACACTGCACAGCAGAAGCAAGAGATCTCTAGTGCAGATCCAGCCCAAGCTGGTACACTGCATGAAGAAGCAGAACTTTGCTTGTACCAGGCTTCTGCTGCTGTTTTCTTCAGTATTTGCAGACTGATTCACTCTTTCTACAGTGGGGATGAGATTTAGGCTTCAACAACTACTGCATGTCTGAATTTCAGGCCAGCTTGTGAGTTGCACAAGTAAGAGGGCATTTTCAGTCATCAGTTCCACAGTCTCAGAAAACCATGCAGCAGTACAACAAAGCAAGCCTGGAGAGCAAGGGCTTTTTACATTTTTCAGCCGGGAAGATAAAACCAAGAGTCTTATCCAAGTCACATTGTGAATTCTAAGTTGTAATAAGCTCACATTCCCCTTACAGCTTACTCAGTGCACGAAATCACTTTTTCACACGTCACTCCCCAGATTTGAAGCATATCATTGACCAATTCAGGGCACTAATTTACAGTTATCTTACTTCATCTATTAGTCCTACAGTTCATTTTACTAAGCTATGGCACATTACAACACACCTAGATGGACAACTTCAGCAGCTAAGCCAGTACCCCATTTATTCACCACTCTAAACAGGATCCCTCTATCTATATCATGAATCATTAGCTGTCATAGGGCATTATCTGTTCAAGTTTTCACATGCAGATATGTAACACAAGACAGACAATCAAGACCATGCTTGGCATAAACTAGTTCCAGCCACACACAAACCCCCAAAGAACACCTAAACCTCCAACCTATTCTGTGATGAACTCACACAGTATTTCACTTCTCCCAAGGCATCCCCTCCCTGATTTCAAAGTGTCACTATTGAATCCAAAGCTTACAAACAAACAACATGTCTTCATAAAAAAAAAAAAGGCTGAAAAATCCAGACAAAGGGACAGTCTAGAACATCAGAAATCAGCCCATTTCTCACTGCTCTTAGTCATTTAGGATTCATCCACCTGAATTTTCCTGCAGCTAAGTGAAACGTTTTGGCCAGATCACTGGCTGCCCTTTCACTTGAAAGCATCCGCCTACGAAATGACAAGGTCACACTGGTCAGCTCTAAAGATAAACATCCCCATGGTGCACAAGCAGGTACTTATTATTAGAATCACATTGTTAATCAAGCATTCTTGCAAATCCATTTCTTCATGATCACATGAACTCATGACACTCAACATAACCAGCCTTAAGACCATTTCTGAGTTGATTTTCCTTGACATTCCCAGGCAGTGCCAGCTGCAGGTGACAGCTCCGTACTTTGCCTGCTAAACTACAGAGAGGGGATTTTCTGCATCCTGATCACTTCTAGTAAGCACAGGAAGATGTGGTTTTCTGCAGCAGTATTGCTACATTAAGGCAAAAAAAAAGCTTTCTTCCACTGACCCTGAACATCCGCTGCTTTATGAGACTTAAATAATGGCTCATGCCAAGACCTAATTCAATAACAGAAAATTAAAAGAACAGACTACTTACAACGTAGCCACAAACAGAAACAGTTTATCATTTAAGTATATACAATTTTGAGGTAGCAGAACAACTGCTGATTAATCCGTGAAGATGCTTCATACCCTCCATACATCCCTCAAATTTTTCATGTGTGGGTTAGCAACCTAAAAAAAAACACCTGAAAGACATCAGACCACCTGTAGGATAATATATTTGTAAGACATACAGGGAAGATAAGTGCACACTACTTTTTACCTTGTAAATCCTACAGCATAGACAATCTTGAAGTGTTACAGCATTTCCAGTGACACTATTCAAAAACCACTTCCCAATTTATACAGTCCATGAATTTAGTCTCATAGAGTGTAGAGAGTAGAGTCTCATCTTATCTTATCAAGTGATTCATTTCATCAAATTCAAGATACCCACCCATGTGAATACAATTTGATGCTGTGAATAGGTGCTTAATGATAGGTGTCTATTAAGATTTTAGGAAAATTAATTATAGAGGAACAGTCAGCAGAAAAAGATTACCAAGCAGAATTAGTAACACTTTCTTAAAGCCAGTGAGGATATTTTTCATACACTTACAGAACTGTCTGCATTTGAATCAATTCACTGACAATGCCCATTATTTTTCATTACCTTGTTAAATGAGAATTTATTGAACTACAGCATATAAAGTTATTTAACGAAATTATGAATGAAAACAGCATTAGTCATGTTCCAGACCTTATGCTCATCTTCGATAAAAAAAAGTTGCTGTCAGAAACCTACTGGGCGTCTCAATGAGGAGCCACAGACACTACCTTTTTAGGCTCATATTTGAAGCAGAACCCATAGAAAGAAACAGACACCCATGAGAGGGGAAAAACCATTCAAAGCTTTCAGGGAAGAAAGAAGTGCGATGCTCCAGCCCGCCCGGGGATCCCCGGGGAGCCGCTCGCCCCCGGCCGCTTCTGCACCCACGTGGAGCCACGGCTGGCACCGAGCGATGCCCACGGGTAGCGCCGGTCACGGAAAAGCCGCTTCTCGCCCTTCTCTCTCAGGGGCAGGGGCAGGAAGGAGGAAGGCTGTTACCCAGCAGGAGGAAGGAGAAGATCCACTGCAGAACGGCGACTGTCTGGATCCTCCTCTTTAGGGGGATATTGATGGGGGCAAACTCGACCTTCATGCTGACGGAGAGCAGCGCGGGAGGCACGGAGCTGCCGGCTCCAGCCCCGGCTCCAGCCCTCGCACCTGCCCGCTGCGCGCCGTTCTGTCGCGGCCCCGGCCGGGCAGGACGCGCCCCTCCCGCCGCCGGCGCTGCCCACGGCCGCGGGTCCGGCAGGCGGGGACGGGGAGGCGGTGCCGCCCGCCCCGGCCGCGGGAAACCTGATCCTGGAGCGGGAGCGGGCAGAGCCCGGGCACGGCTGCGGGGGCTGGCGGCGGCTACACCCCCTTCGCCCACAGGCGGCTGGAGCGGGTCCCCCGGCCCGGAGCGCCGCGGCTGCCACCGCTCGACATGAGCGGCACCGGGCGGAGGCACCGCGGCTGTGTCGGAGCGAGCCCCGCGCCTGCGGAGCCAGGCGCGCCCTCACACACAGCACCTGCGCGGCCCTGCCGGGCTGTTCCCCTCGGAGCGCCCGGAGACCCGGCACTCCGGGGCGTGCTTAAGGCTCTTACCATTAAAGAGCTTATGGAGCTGACCCAGGACTTAGAGTTCCTGCAGTGTTTGGCGTCAAGCGTTTCGTTTTTAATTACACCAGCACACGCACAGCCTCCTCCCGCCCGCGGCGCTTCGCCCGGCGCGTCCGTGACAGGGATCGTCAGTAAATAAAACTTCGGTGTGAAAAAGAAACCACCCCCCGAAACTTGTACAGCGTTGCCCCAGCTGACACCCCTCTCCATGGGGACGACGGCAGCGCCGGGATTCACCATTCCCCGCGGGGACAGGGATAATGCTGGGACTCACGGTCCCCACGCGAGGACGGTGACACTGGCTCCGCCGGGACTCACGGTCTCACACGGGCCGCCTCTCCCGCCCGGCGCCGGTGACAGCGCGGGGCCCCGGCGCGGGCTGATGTCACCGCCGTAGCTGCCCGCCGCGCTGCCGGGGCTCTGCGCGCCGCCCGGTCCCTCCCCAGGGGTAGCACGGGCTCGGAGCAGCCCCACGGCCGCCCGGGCGCGGTGTCACGGCGCCGGGGAGCGCGGCCGGCGGCGGGCGCGGCCGGGGGTCTGGGGGCGGCCCTCGGGCAGCGCGGCGGGAGCGCGCCGGGGCCTGGCGGGAGCGCGGCGCAGGCGCAGCGCGGGCCCGGGCCGCCATGCCGACCGTCAGCGTGAAGCGGGAGCTGCTGTTCCAGGCGCTGGGCAGGCGCTACAGTGAGTGCCCGCCATCCCCGCCATCCCCGCCGTGCCGCGGGACGCGCCCGCACAGCACCGCGCCCGCCCGCTGCCATCGCCGCGGCCCCTCCGCCGCTGCCCGCCCTGTGCGCGCGCGGTGCCGCCGGCCGCGTGTCCCGGGGCTGCACCGGGGCTCTCGGGGAAGCTCAGGCATCAGCGCCGGTGGCTCCCCTGCCGCCTGCTCCTCGCCTGCGCACGGCACGCCAGGCACAGCCATGTGTCATCCTCGGCCCCTTCAGCCCACTGCCCTGACACGCACTGCTAGAGCCCAGATCGCTCGGGAAGTGCAACCGCGCATCCCCGCATGGCGGTTCCTGTTGGGAGTTTCACTGTCTGTGTTAGGATCTGGTTAAACGAAGGAGGAGGGAGAAGAGCGGGGAGCAGGCAAAGCGAGCGGTGAATAGCGAGGGTTTATTCAGTCCTTCCATCTTGGCTCTCGATGCGGATTTAAGATCTGCTCGGCTGGAGGAGCGTTCAGGACATGCAGTGGTTTCGAGCAGACGGAAGCTGTGGCTCTGCAGACAGCCCGGTGCATTGTCAGAGCAGGGCATTGTCAGATCTGCGTTGTCAGAACGGGGCTGTTCTGCGTTACTCACGTGTTGATGATGCAGTTGATGCAACCTCTGTAGAGCAACCTGTCTGATCAGAACAGGAGCACTTGGCAGAAGCTGCCCAGTTATTCCCTTCTGATTTCATTGTCTGTTCAAGCCAGAGTTGCTCTGACAGATCTGGCTGAGGAGCTGAGCTCCAAAGATCAGAAGCCCTCCTTTGTGACTGTAAGAATACCACGACAATAAATCAAATATATACTAAAGAAGCTGCTATTCAGATGCAAGTATAAGGGAAAATCTTCAAATTACTTTTACCTTTTTTTTTTCCCCAAATAACATTTATTATCTTCTTTGAAGACATTGTAAACACACAAAAATTAGCTCTGAGGTCTTCTTATTAACCAAAATTCACCCTCTTCCTTCACAGCGGATGAAGAATTTGATGAACTTTGCTTTGAGTTTGGTTTGGAGCTTGATGAAATTGTAAGTAATGTTTTTATTTGTTGCTTTTTGAGTAGATGTAGCATATTGACAGCATTGATTTTTGGTAAGAGTTTGTATGGCATTGTTTCCAGTATATCCCCTGTTGCAATGGTGTAATGCACTGTATTAACACAGATGTTTTGAATCTGGGAAAAAAACCCTCAGACATACAAAAGTTACTGCTTTGGAAGCAAGAGCCTCCAAGATGGCATATTGCAATACTTCCTGGAGGTCAGCACTCCGTACTGCTTGATCTCAGGCACCATTTTATTTAGCAGCATAAGTATGGCCACAGAACATATATTGATCATATTTTACAATATCTGCTTGTCTTTGTTTGATATACAGTCATCTGTGCAATATCCACAAAACTGTATTTGTCCTGGACATTGTTAGCTGAGTTGTAACTAATTTATATTTAACATTTTTATTTCGGTTCTGTACTTGTGGAGATCTGCTATTCCTGATAACTCTATCCATGCAAATCTTGTTCAAGTAGACCTGTTTTGGTTTTGCCATTTAATTTTAGTTTATTGGCTTTTTAATGACGCTTATCAAAAGACATTTGAATGTCATATGTTATGCTTTATTTCAGAATAAATTTGATTATGACATGTCATTTGCCAATCTATTGCCAAAAATAATGTCTCAGATCTCTGCTGGGATCTGACAGCCTGGAGGTTCTAGCTTCTATAACATTTTTTTCTTAAAATTTTAATACTGAATTTTTCTTTTGGTACACTGCTTTATAGTTTCTGAATTTGAGGTTTTATGTCATCCCTTGTATTTGGTGTGTCTGTTTGCTGTATAAATGCAAATTATAGTGTTAAACTTCTTATTAATACAGTTTCTCCTATCGTATCACTATCATACTGCTGTCAATGTTAAGATATATCAGGTTAAACCCTCATTTTTGCTTGATTTCAGACATCTGAGAAGGACATTATAAGTAAAGAAAAGGGTGAAGAAAAGGCCAAGGGTGCCTCTGATGTCATTCTCTATAAAATTGATGTTCCTGCCAACCGCTATGATCTGCTTTGCCTGGAAGGGTTGGTCCGAGGACTGCAGGTCTTTAAGGAAAGGTAAGGCAGAGTTGTGAGATCTCTGTGGTGTTTGTTGAAATTTGGGTCCATTTCTGGTCAGTAAACAAAACTTTCTACTTGCTTGCATTTGGAGTATGATTATGTGTGTAGATGAGATTCATCAGGTGTTCCTCTGGAGAGGATCTATTGCATAACTTAAAAAGACCAGACTAGAATGTTCCTGGGTTTTGTATCTGTTCTAAAAAGTTTTCAATTGCTGTTCCATTTGAGACTTATCCTCTGTAAAGAACTCCTGCAGAGAAACTTCCTTGTGATCCTTTCTAATAAATACCAAAACAAATAATTTATTTCCCTTTTCTACAATGACTTCATCTTGCTGAGTTCTTCCTTTCTTGTTCAGTAATCTGTTGACCATCCCATAAAAAACAAGTTCTGCACAATTAGCTTATTACATGCCAATAAATGTTAGCAAGGAAGTTTTCTACATATAATTCCTGCTCCATTTCTAGAGTTTGCTGCATTTCAGCTACAGACTTACTTCTGTTTTTGTTTCAGGATAAATCTCCCTAGGTTTGAAAAGATAATACCAGCTGAGGGTGAAGGTCAGAGGCTGATTATCACTGAACAGGTAAAATTGTTTACTGCACTTTTGTAAATGCATTGAGAGTTGCTGAAGCAGCAAGATCCATATCAGTACGATTTTGTAAGAGCAGTGAGACTGGAAATCTTATTTGCAGAACAAGAGCTGAAGACATTTAAATATCTCTACTAGTTGTGATCTATTCTTAGGAATGAGGAGTGGGAGGAACAATAGACAGATTATTTTGGGTGAACCTAGTAGCAGATCAAATCAAAGTTTCAGATGCAGCTGAAATCAGATCTCTTGAGGAGCTGCTGTTGTGAATTGCAGACTGCCCAGGTCCGGCCTCACGCTGTGGCCGCCGTCCTGCGGAACATAACTTTCACCAAGGACCGCTACGACAGCTTCATCGACCTCCAGGAGAAGCTGCACCAGAATATCTGCAGGTCAGTGCTTAAATTTATAGTGTGTAGTGTCTGTGTCTATGATTTTATCACATTAAAACTGCACATCCCTGTTGCAGAGAGGTGTTATGGTTATGCCAAGGAAAATCTTTGATAGGAGCTCTCTTGATCCTTCTCATTTCCTTGCCTGTTCAGCTGTTGCAGTTTATTCAGCAGTTGAGACAGAAGTGTTTAGCAACATTCCCATTGGATTTGCCTTGACAGTTGTGTTGCTATTCATAATAATATTTATTAAAATGTTATTCATCGAATAATTTCTAAGCTTCTCAAAATTATCCTTCTGCTTTTTCATTAAGCTCTTTTTTCATAAAGCATCATACTGCAAGAAACTCCCAAGTATTACTAGTAAAAACATTATTTTGCCTTCTTTATTTCTAGGAAAAGAGCATTAGTAGCAATAGGTACCCATGACTTGGACACCATCACTGGTCCATTTACTTATACAGCCAAAGCACCTTCTGAAATTAAATTTAAGCCCTTGAATCAATCCCAGGAGTACACAGCCTCACAAATTATGGATCTGTATAGGGTAAGTGGAATTTTTCAGACTCGTTGCACTAAATGAGGAGGATAAATTTCCAAGGCTAAATGTCTCTCATATCCTTGTTATTAGAAGTTGTTGTTACAAATCAAACACAATTGTCTTCTGTAGCTTAACAGCCATTGGACATGCCATATTTTGCTTGTCATGTTGGAAAACACACACTGGCCCTGGAGACAAATCATCAAGTGCCTCTGACTAAAGAATAAGAGAG